CCAACCTTCATCGCCCCTACCCCTCCCATCCTGCACCCCACTTTCGTCGTAAGAGGGCCAAGGTTCGACAAACAAAGGCATATTTAATTAATTAACAAAACGGTGGGTGGTCTCAAAGACAGAAACACGTGAGTGTTATCATCATCACGGGCAAACATTTTCCACCTTTCTCTATCCTGAGCGAGCCTCTTCATGGTATTCCACGTCGGTGGCCTAGTGGTTAGGTTCTCAGACTCGCCACCGTAAGGTCGTGGGTTCGAATCCCGTTGCGTCCCTGAGAAAGGAACTTTACACGAATTTTCCTCACTTCACACATGAAGGAATGGATACCCAGCTATAGACAGTGAAAGGGCAGAATAGAAAGAAAGAGAGAGAGAGAGAGAGAGAGAGAGAGAGAGAGAGAGAGAGAGAGAGAGAGAGAGAGAGAGAGAGAGAGAGGTGAGGGTGGGATTACCCTAAAAGCACTGTCCACTGACAGCTTTGAATGATCTTGATCAAGGTCAAAATCACAACATGCACGGGTTTTTTAAATATGTTACGCCACTTTTGACACAATGTAGATAACATAAGAGGCGGGTGGTTTCCACCCTGTCTGTCAGGGTCAGCCTGAGGAGTGGCAGGGATACAATATCCTTGGCCTGAGGAGTGGCAGGGATACAGTATCCTTGGCCTGAGGAGTGACAGAGATACAGTATATTGGCCTGAGGAGTGGCAGGGATACAGTATCCTTGGCTCGAGGAGCAGCAGGGATACAGTATCCTTGCAGACAGATGAAGATACTCTATAAAACAACAACCCCTCACTAAAGTCAAACTCACACCTTTGGCGTTTATATATGACCTTATGCAGTTCCGAACGCCGTAAAACCTTACTAAAACAAAACAAAACTCAAACCTCCTTTGTGCAACGGCGGAGATCCCAACTACTGCACCACAGACACCGGTCTGACGTCAGCAGATTCAAGTTCAAGAACTAGAATTTATTGTCAACGTCACTGCTGTGATGACTTATAATATTTTTTTACTTCTCAAACTGGTTCACTGCCTGTTTTTTGTATTGGTGTATAGAAAACGTTTTAGAAAATGTATCTGCAATTGATTTGTTTCATCTGTGTTTTCTTACTAAGAGGAAATATACATGTATTATGGTTTTGTTCAAATTTCTCTTGAGTGAATATTTTATATTGTCTCTAAAAACATAGTTGGAAACATCTCAGAAATAAGAGAGTTATTGACAGGAAGCAGGCTGGCGTTATACTGTAATACGAGGTGCCCATTGCAGATGGGATCGGATCGGGTCGGGTCGGGGGCGATCCCCCAACTCGTCGCCTGAAAACAAACGTGTTTGTTTTTGAGGCGACGAGTCGGGCGGCGCGATCGGCTTGTGCCATGATAGTCGTTTCTCGCCCTCAATCTGGCTAGCAAACCGGCAGGACAAGACCCGATCCCACCATGGGCACCCGGTATAAGGTGTTGAATCTAATTTGTCTATCTATCTATCTATCTATCTATCTATCTATCTATCTATCTATCTATCTATCTATCTATCTATCTATCTATCTATCTATCTGTCTGTCTGTCT